GACCAGGGGTTGGGGACCCTTGATCTAGAGGACAGCAAATTTCAAGCAATGGTCCAGATGGGAAACAATGAGTGGGGGCAGTCACAGCTTCAACCAAGATGCAGATTTAACATGTGAGAACAGCAGTGCCCTTACCAAGATTTAAGCTTGAAGAAGAGCCATGAGAAGATAAAGATGGTGGAGGAGTCTGAGAATGGCCAGGTCCTTGACTAGGTAAAGGCATGCCTACCGGACCCGGTGAAGAAGAAAAACCAAGGCCATTATAAAAGCTATGTCCTATAGGAGTCAAATTGCTGGATGTCCTCTTGTAGAGATCAGTGCTGCCAGTGAGGGAATCTCTGCGAGAACCGCTGCCTGTGTTGGAATTGGCAACTGAAACAGAAAGGAAAGGAGGTGAGGAGTGAAAGGTCTCATCAATAAGAAAAGGAGGATACTGGGAAGGAGGAATACCTCTGGGTCTAATTATCAAAGCAAAACTGAAAGATTGGGAATTATCTCCTAATGCTACTAGAATTCTTTCAAATTAACAGAAACAGGCATGACAGAAGGTGTCTAAATTTCAAATAGCACTCTCCACATTGAATAATTTTAAAATATTTTTTTTAATCTGAAAAAACTCTGAAATCAAAAATCTTACTGGAATGCCAGTATCCTGTTTTACACACTCTTTTAATTTTCTCACATGAGATTTCTAGAATTGAGGGATCAAATTACTGATAGGGATGTGGCATTTCTCTGAGATTTTCTCCAAGAAAGATTTATTTTTCTCAGTCACTTTCTCAGCAATTTAGCAAAGAACCAGTGAGATGTAATGGTTGAAGAAGTGAGATTCAGAGGGCGGAATAAAATTTACTGGGAAACTTTGGCTTAGTCACAAGTTTAACGTAATACTTTCAAGGTAGGTGTTTAAATAGGATGGGGGAGGCTACAAAAAAGGCTAGGAAAATGCAAACAAATAAACACAGCAATAAATATTCCTTCATATACGATATCAATGAACTGAAATGTAAGTTGTGTTAACACACTGGACTAAAGTCATATTTATTTGTCATATTTAACAACTGTCAATCTACCTCACAGAGGGACCTGTGTGATTTATTTGATATGACTGTGTTGTCTAAACCTAATTCTTGAGACACCCTGAGAAAACTGTGTCTTTAGTCCACTGTGTAAGCCAGGAGTCATGTCCTAAAGGATCTTCACTGGATCTATGGAGAACCGGGAGCTTTATTCAGAACTGACCTACATCAAATTTCCTATTCCCTCCTACTGTGGCAAGTCATAAAATGGCTGTTGTTTGCTTTACTTGGGGAGAGCTGCCACTCCTACCTGCTGTTCCGAAACCTCCCAGCGCAGACCCCAGGGTAGCACCAAGGGAACTGCTGCTCCCAAAGCCGAGGGAAGTGTTGGCAGGCTGGGCAGAGCCCTGAGAAAAGAGCGAGCTGCTCTGCGAATTGCTAGTGAGGGAATTGTTGCCGTAAAAGGAGCTGGAGGCCAAGTTGCTGGTGGGTTGCTGCTGCGGCTGAGGCTGTTGAGTCCCAAGAGGTCGGAAGGGCCCGCTGGTCGTTCCTGCTAGGCCACCAGCAGCACCGTTGGCTGAAGCTGCAGCAGCTGCAACCGCTACCACAGGGAAAGAGAGGGGGAAAACATTAACAAGGCAAAGAATGGGAAACTTCAACCAGTCTGAATAAATACAGCTTATTTAGTGACCGTTCAAAGTTACAAGGGCACTGAAAAAAAGTAACTTATGACCATTTTTCACAGTTATGAGCTTTCCAACCTCCCCAGAATCATGCGATCAAAATTCAGATGCTTGATAACTGGCTTGTATTTATAATGGTTGCAGCATCCCAGGGTCACCTGATCACTTTTTGCAACTTTCTGACAAGCGAAGTCAATGGGGAAGCCAGATTCACTTAACAACCGTGTTAACTAGCTTGTCAACTACAGTGATTCACTTAACAGCTGAAGCAAGAAAGGTCATAAAATGGGGCAAAATTAACTTATCAAAGGTCTTATTTAACAACAGAAATTTTGGGCTCAATTGTGTTTGTAAGTTGAGGACTACCTATATGGCATTTATTTTATAGAATGCTATGTATCCAAATTCATTTCCAGGAAAGGCCATCAATAACATTTATGTATCACTTGGAGCAGTAATTTCTAAACTGTTGGGAGAAGAGTGTATCACACTGGCAATCAAATTAAATGATTTGCCATGATAGCAAAGCAGCTTTCCACATAACAGTCCCTACCTTCCTTTCTTTCTAGTGAGTTTGTAAACAACAAAGTACTTTTACTGCTGTGGCACTTTAGAATTTGCTTACATACAAACCAGGAATCGTGCTTTAAAATAAACTCTAGCTTACTAAAACAAAGCATAAAACAATCACCTGGTTAATATGTAATATTAAGCCACAGTAGGAAAGATTAGCATAACATGATTTGCAAACCTGCCCTCCCCCCTCCTTGTATCTTAGTGTTATGTGCAAATTTAGCCACGATCGATCATTCAAGAAACACTCGATTATTTTCAATTGAAAAAATCCTAGCTAAATATGTGTGAATACAGCCAATTCAAGCTTGGAAGACGGCACATTCAACACTTAAACTAGAATCCCTGCTTTATATGTTATAACTTAAGAATCACATGCATAGAAATGAAATGCCAATTTGGTCTGCATGAGGGAAGAATGCTTGGGCCCAGTTTGCTAAATGGGGACAACACCTTCTTGCTCACAAACATGCTAGGCAGGACTTGCCTTTTCCATATTTAACAATATCGTATTTCGTGTTTTCTATGGATTTTAAGTCCTATGCAACCATCAGTGCTCCATCTGGATTTTGATACCCATTACACCTGACAGTTTCACAGAGCTGCTGAAATGGACGATGCATCTAACTACGGTGCTCCCACAGAGAGTACCTAAGGAAGACTTGCCTGCTTGTGCAGCTGAGGAACTGATGAGGACAGGGGCAGGAGCCACCAGTCGTACCGGAGCCCCAAGGCCATTCCTTGCACCTGTATTCACCACAAGAGCACCTGTTTGGTCATAATAGGCAGCCGGAGCCAGGACTGGGTAACCTATGAAGACAGATGGGACCGTTATAAGGAATCGTCTTTACAATACTGGTGGATTTTTTGTGTGTGTGTTTATTGCCCTACACACACACACACACACACACACACACAAACACACACACCAATTCTTCTGGAAATCATAAGCTCCTACCTGGCATTCCTGCTGCCAGCCCCTGCCCAAAAGCAAGAGCTGAATTCACGGCTGCTGCAGCCACTAAAGGATCTGTCTGCTGGCCCTGTTGGTTCTGATTTGGGGTCAAAGGACGCTGGCTGGCTCCTCCCCGGAGAACCTGGGAGAAAAGCAAGGAGGTATCAGGTATCAGCACCATCAAGAGTAGAAAACATGTTGGAAATGTAAAAAAGTATATGGAACATATTATCATTTATGGTGGACATGCCCAGTTGCGAAAAAATACTGGACTAAAATAAGAAGATGGATCGAAGAAATAATAGACCAACCCGTAGACTGGAAACCAGAGATCTTTTTGCTGGGTATTTTAAAAAAAGAAAATATAGTAAAGAAATACGGTACTTAATTCTACATATAACAACGGCAGCAAGAATAGCATGCGCACAATTCTGGAAAAATGAAAATATGCTATCAGAGGAAGAAGTGATAAGAAAAATCCTGAACTGTGCTGAGATGGACAAATTAACAAAAGAGATAAAAGAAAAGGAAGACACAGAGTACTATCTAATATGGAACAAGTGGTACGACTGGTTGGAGACTAGAAATAATAGAGAAGAATAAATGTGGAAAGATCAAAAGTGGAAAATGTGTGTATAATAATGTATTATTAATAATAATATGTATTATTCTTAGTATAAAGTATAGTATGAAGGAAGAAAAATGCAAATAAGAAACAATGGGGCAACAAATATTCTAAAGAAGAATAAGGGGGGGAAATGTAAATAATAGAAGATTACCGTTACGAAATTGCTGTTAAAAAAAAGGGAGGAGTATACACTGTGTGTGTATGTGTGTTATGTTTTGTTTTGTTGGTTTAAAAAATTAAAAATAAAAAAAGTAAAAAACAACATGCTGAAATTAACATAGAATATCCCTTTTTATTTCTTATATTTGGGAACCCATCTCCCCTAAAACACCTTCATTGAATGTCATATATATGCAGAATCAAAAATGGACGATTTTTTTTTTCTGTAGAACCGGAAATGTAAAAGTTGGGCTATAGGAAACATTTATTGGTCAGTCAAACCTTGCACGCTTTTATAAAACCTCAATTTTTCAACTGTTCCTCATCATTCCTTCTAGACTCCCATGATGGTCTCCAGCATATCAGTTTATCCTTGTCTTTGCTCTGGTCTATTGCCTCCCAATTCTCTAAGAATGTCTCACTAGAAATATAGATTATGCTTAAGTCTACAACTCTGCTTTAAAGCATGCCACTTCTTAGGGCTGTTTTTATAAAAGAATAAAAAAATCAGGAGGGGTGAAGAACGTGCTGGGCTGTAAGGGAAATGTTGCTAAGGGACCGGAAAAGGTTTATTTTCAACAGCGGCACCGATTCCTGATTTCACTCAGAAAAAAGTTAAAAATGAAATTTCCTTTATGGAGTATTTCTAGCCCGAAATGACACCATTGATATGTATACCAGGATTTTCATGGCTGAGTATAATTAACTGAACTTAATACTCCTCATCATTATCCATAATCAGTCTTAATGGATTGCTGCAAGAAATACAAGGTATACATACAAATTCATGAGTACCACAATGAGAGTCTGTCCTATTTTATTTTAGTTTTACATAGCAAGTCATTATAATAACAATTTGTAACTGTTTTTATATATGGGAACTTATAAAAATACCTAAACAAATTCAATAATATATCCATGTTCATTCAGCAGAAAAGAAATGGTAAACTTTTATCATAATAACAATGTGTTGTTTAAGAAGGTCCAGCTCAGCTTATTTGAGTCCAAACAAGATTCTCATTATGGAACAATGTTCTCAGTGAGGGCAAGGGTGTCATCACTGCCAGACCTTTGAGTTCAATGACTTGGAAAAATAAATTAAACTGTATTTCCTTATCCTCCCATGGCTGAAACCATACTATCAAATGATTATTTGTTGCAATCAAATATATTATTCTGCCAAACCCCATGCCAAAATCTAGACAGATAACCTTCTTTTGAGGATAGATATGCAAATAATAAATCAGGGTTAACAAACCGAATTCACACAATACACTACACCAAAAGCACTTTACAGCTTACAGCCTGTAAATGAGAATTTCAGCAAATATTCTTGGCCATATTTCCATCATTCTTCTCTGCCTCTCCTCCTTTTATGCACACACCAGGCTTTCTTCCTCATAATCAAAGACCAACACACAGATCCCATTTATCGTTTCAGCCTTGGAACTATTTATTAAAAGAGTCTGCTACCACTGCAGACTTGGCTCCAATAGGAGACTGCTCAACAAAGGCGCTGTCTTTGAGGCAAGACTTCTTACCTGCTGTTGCCCTTGCTGGGTCTGCTGTGAGGTTTGTTGATTTGAGGAGTTTGTGGCAGCAGCAGCAGCAGCTTGTTGCTGGAAAAGACTGGCAGGATATACTCCCCAGGGAGCTACTCCATAATATTGATGCGGGACAACGGCAGGCCCTAAAACACCAACAAAGGACTGGCTTTATCTTTTACTAGTTGCATCATAGGGATTTGTAGTTCAAATTAATCTGCCACTAACTGAACAAGAGAAATAAAGAGCTAGGTAGCGTAAGTGGAACCTTATCTGGCCCAAGGGGAGAGGGGATAAAGAAGGTAACCCTGCCACATGCCCAATTTTTTAAAATGATCCAGTTATGGGCAAAAATAATAGTACTTATTACCCAGAACAAATACTTGCTTATTGGCAGATATATTTCATCTGAGATGCCTATACTTTCAGTCCAGAAGCCCAGGAATACAAACTAAGTGCTCTAACTATTTAAGGGCCTGGACAAGCTAAACAACATACTTGGATCAGTTTTGTTTCCCTGGTCTCCCCCTTCCCAAACCTCTATAACCAGCCACTCTGGAAGCCAAAGCAGGGGAAGGCAGCAAGCCGGGAAGGATACTGTGACTCAAGAGACAAAGCTAATTCTGTGAGACGTAAGGAAGATAGTCCCTTGGAACCTCAAGTATCTGCAGAGTGGGGGAGTGTCCCAGAGGAAAGAGCATGTGAAAGCAACTCACCTAAAGTTGCAGCTGCCGCAAGTCCTGCTGCATAGGGATCTGTTCCTGGTGGAGCAGCACTGATGATGTAAGGGTTGGGCACAAAGGCAGCAGGAGCTAAACCTGCTGAAAGCATACCTGTCAGTGAAAACAAACTTGGCTAGCACTGCAACCCTACTAAACAACTTCTGCAGTGTTTTGTGTGTGTGTGTGTGAGTGTGTGTGTAAGCAACCTATCTCTGATCTAACAGAACAAAGGATTCAAGGCATTAAGACAAGAGTCTTAAAATCTAAAGATCTTCTGTTGAGAAAACTACTACTCATTTTGATTTATTATTAAAAAAGAGCTTAAAATGTGTTCTTTCCCATTTTTTAAATAATTACATAGAGCATTTTATCCACATTTGATTTTTTTGCAACAGTTCGATAAACCCCCATAATAAGGCATATATTCTTCTGTTTGCCTTCGGTTCTCGTTCAAACATTATCTGAGGCTATTTTAGGAGGAATAGGAGGCAGGAGAATGTGTTTCTCAGTTAAATCTTTTAAGTAGCTTAATTCACATTTGGCTCAGAGGCAACAAGTCCTTCCAATAAAAGTTCTCATTATAGACAAACAGTCTCAGTGAGGGCAAGAGCATCATCACTGCCAGACAGATCAAGATAAGGATATAAAAATCCTGTAAAATCATATAATCATTTCTGCTTTATCCTCTTTCTTGAAACAAATGAACACCATCTTCAGAGTTACTTAACAAAGTGATAAATGTAACATAGAAGGTGATCAGATTTTTACCCATTCAGGATCTGAAGGCTTACCTATGTGTGGCTGATGAGCAGCTGCTAATGCGTATTGCTGTTGTTGGGCTGCTGTCAGTTGCTGGACAGCAAGTGCATTCGGTCTTTGGAACAGCTGAGAAATAAGCAATTAAAAAATAATAATTTTACAACTTTACCCCAATGCTCTTAATGCCAGGAGCTCATTTAACCTAGAGTTTCTTTCTGCCCATAAATGCTATCCCTGTCAAATACAATTGTTGTTTAGTGATTGCCTCGTACAACAACTATTTGCAGTGATGAAAACGTAACTCTGTGACCAATCCTCACATTTACGACTTTTGCAGGTCTATAAAGCAAAGGAACCCCTTTATGGATTACTGCCTTGTCGTGGCAAAGGGGCTTGTGTAACTCAATGAAGCTATAAGCTATGCCATGCAGGGCCACCCAAGACGGACAAGTCATAGCAGAGAGTTCTGACAAAATGTGATCCACTGGAGAAGGAAATGGCAAACCACTCCAGTATCTTTGCCATGAAAACCCCATAGACAGTACTAAAAGGCAAAAAGATATGACGCTGGAAGAAGAGCCCCTCAGGTTGGAAGGCATCCAATATGCTACTGGGGAAGAGCAGAGGGCTAGTACTAGTAGCGCCAGAAAGAATGAAGCGACTTGGCCAAAGCCGAAAGGATACTCAGCTGTGGATATATCTGGTGGTGAAAGGAAAGTCCGATGCTGTAAAGATACATTCCAATTCCAAAGAAAGGCAATGCCAAAGAATGTTCAAACTATCGCACCATTGCACTCATTTCACATGCTAGTAAAGTTATGCTTAAAATCCTATAAGCTAGACTCCAGCAGTATGTGGATCGAGAACTACCAGAAGTAAAGGCAGGATTTCGAAGAGGCAGAGGAACTAGAGATCAAATTGCCAACATACGCTGGATCATGGAGAAAGCTAGGGAGTTCCAGAAAAACATCTACTTCTGCTTCATTGACTATGCTAAAGCCTTTGATTGTGTGGATCACAACAAATTGTGGCAAGTTCTTAAAGAGATGGGAATACCAGACCATCTTATTTGTCTCTTGAGAAACCTATATGCGGGTCAAGAAGCAACAGTGAGAACTGCACGGAACCACTGATTGGTTCAAAATTGGAAAAGGAGTCTGGCAAGGCTGTATACTGTCGCCCTGCCTATTTAACTTATATGCAGAGCACATCATGAGAAAGGCAGGGCTAGATGAATCAAAAGTTGGAATTAAGATTGCCGGGAGAAATATCAACAACCTAAGATATGCAGATGATACCACTCTAATGGCAGAAAGTGAAGAGGAACTAAAGAGCCTCTTGATGCGGGTGAAGAAGGAGAGTGCAAAAGTTGGCTTGAAACTCAACATTAAGAAAACCAAAATCATGGCATCCGGCCCTCTCAATTCCTGGCAAATAGATGGGGAAGAAATGGAGGTAGTGACAGATTTTATTTTTCTGGGCTCAAAGATCACCTCAGATGGGGACTGCAGCCAAGAAATTAAAAGACGCTTGCTCCTGGGGAGGAAAGCTATGGCAAATCTAGACAGCATTCTAAAAAGCAGAGACATCACCCTGCCAACAAAAGTGAGTATAGTCCAGGCCATGGTTTTCCCAGTTGCAATGTATGGCTGTGAAAGTTGGACCATAAGAAAGGCTGAGCGCAAAAGAATTGAGGCCTTTGAACTATGGTGCTGGAGAAGACTCCTGCGAGTCCCTTGGACTGCAAGGCGTTCAAACCGGTCAGTCCTAGAAGAGATCAACCCCGATTGCTCTTTAGAAGGCCAGATCCTGAAGTTGAAACTCAAATACTTTGGCCATCTAATGAGAAGGAAGGACTCACTGGAAAAGGGCCTAATGCTGGGAAAGATGGAGGGCAATAGAAGAAGGGGACGACAGAAAATGAGATGGCTGGATGGAGTCACTGAAGCAGTAGGTGTGAACTTAAATGGACTCCAGAATATGGTAGAGGACAGAAAGACCTGGAGGAATGTTGTCCATGGGGTCGCGATGGGTCGGACACGACTTCACAATTAACAACAACAACAAAAAGTGAAGGAAAGCTGAAAATAAGCACAGCTGCCATTTTGCTGAGTGACAGTGGCTTAACAACTAGGCCACTGGTCCCAACTGTGGTTACTTAAATGAGAGACCCTGCAGATTCTATTAAATGGCAATTCTTGTTATGCCTAAAACCTGCCATTCTTTTTAAGGCTAATGGAAGTTCCCATGCTACCTCCCTCGTTTTACTCTTTCTAGTCATTTCCCTCTTTTTTTCCAATCTCTACTATATGGTCCCTGAGTGATAATTCAGTTCGCTGTTATCAAACTTTAGGATGCATTTATTTGTCAAAATTTCCCTAGAAGGTACTTGTATCTATTGCCATAATAATGCTACACATCACATCGGGCCAGGTTGAAAAAGGCATCTAGGTCGATAAATGTAGTAGCTACCTGTTGTTGTGAGTTGTAATCAAATAAGCCCACGGTTGCTGCAGCAGAATCCACAGGTACTTGGGTGCCAGAGTAATCAAACTGAAGTGGCTCCATGCCGACATGCTCCATGGGATCCAGAGGGACACTCTGGGATTCTATATTAGAGAAATCCTCCACAGGCTTGGCACCATTAGTACTAGCTAGCTGGGCTAAGCTTTCTGATCCATTCTGGTTTGGCCCTAAAAGATCCACATCACTGGCAGAGTTCTGACAGTTCCCTGGTGTCCTGCTGAAAAAGAATGGGGAGGAGCTGTTTTCAGTTTCTCCTACGTACTTCCTATACACTTTATTTAAACTCCATAGAAACATGTATACTTATGTGTTACAACACACTCTCCTTAGTTGGTTTATATATGGCTTCTCTTTTCTTTTGTATTATAAACGTCTTCAACCCAGACATGGTACCATCTTGGAATTCTCTCCCAAGATAATTTTATTAGTGACAATAAAATCTGAATGCAACACAATAAGGTCTTACAAAATTATCTTGTTCAATTAACGATTCAATGCAGCTGCCTACTTCTATGTG